AGTACGAATTCGTGGAACATGTGCGTACGTACGTGACATACGCGAGAAGAGGTGAAAACCGCTCACAAGGAGGGAGAGAGGAGTCCCGGGGAGCTTTCGTTCCGCGAGAGATCTCTCTTTTTTTTTACTATCGTTTAACAGTCTCGTAATCGCGACGATCACTCCGACTACGTTTATCATCCACGACGCTAAAAACTACCGCCTTGTCGCGAGTTTATTATCACTTATTGGCCGCACTACGCGCACTCGAGTTTTGATTAACGTATGGCACTATGTAAAATTACGTGAACGTGTCTATGTGTCCTGGGTTTTTTTTCTCGTGCGACGTCAAATGACGAAACGGTTGTGGAGTGACGGTTTCTCGCGTGGGATATCTCTTCAACGCGAATCTTGAGCGTGTTTTTCTTTTCCTTCGAGTAGAGAACAAAGTCCGAGACGCACTGGATACTGCATAAATAAATGCGTTTACACATTTCAATTGTCGAGCATCGAGTATCAAAATTCGCGAAAGGGGATGCGAACAACGTGTACGACGAAATCGATGACGATGACGATGACGATGCGATGTCGGAACCTCGGCCAAAGTGAAGGATGCCCAAATTGGCGTTACTCTCTCGTGTGCGTGTGGATCTTGGAATAAAGCAATGGTAGTTAGTCAGCGGAATTGTCCCAAAGTCTAGCGGAGGTTCTCGACGAGTTTTCTATTCTTTATGAGATAAATCCAGCCTATTTTTTTTTTTTTTTGTTCCCTGACGCGCGACTTGCACATTAACATTTTATTTTTTATTTAACGCTTTAAATCACTTTAAATCCGAACTTTCGCCAGCCGTTTCCGCGCCCAGCGTGTGCTCGTTGAAACAAAACGATGGGGGTTCGAAAACGCGCGAGGCCGGTAAGGAAGACTGACTTGAAAACAACGCGTGTTCTCTCGAAGGATCTTAAACTTCCGGCGCGCGCGATACGAAATATTTAAACTTCGATCCGTCAAAAATTCGGCTGTTCAAAAGCGCGCCGTACTACTTATCAATTTTTTTTTTTTTTTTTTTTCATCATGTGCGCGATAGTATTACGCTCTCGATGTTTTCTTAAATTTAATTTGTTCCTAGAAGCACCACTAATAAACGATAATTATTAGAACAAGACTGAATTTCGCCGCGTGATTTCTTTTTAAATTTTCTCTCTCTCTTTGGAAAATCTCGAACGTGTCGATGCCTCGTACCGCGTCTTGATATCTCGAATACTCGGGGGGAGGGGGACTTCACTCGTACGATCAGTCACATTTCGCTCACAATTGTCTCGTGTAAAAACAAAAAAAAAAAATAAAAAATACTTAAAACTCTCTTGACTTGTCTTACCCCCTCTCTCACTTCAATTTCTTTGCTCGCACACGCGCTGCTCTTCCGTTTCGAGTTTTGCGTTCACGTTCCGAGTTCTGGCAACCACCCTATCACCTTCTCTCTCACACACACACACATATTTCTTTCTTTCTCTATTAACCTACTGTCGTTCCCTTCGCTACACATACATTTAGTCTATTTTTTTAAAGTTCAAATTTCTTTCGTCCTCCCGTTTGCGGAAAAGTTCTCGCGCTTTCCTCTCTCTTCGTGCGCGCGCGCACAGAGAACTATTTCTCGCTGTGTGGTTAATAGCTATTATGCAATTGTTTGCAGATAATATCAGCCACCTTGCACGCACACACATTCTCTATCTCTCTCTCGCAATTATACTTTCTAATTTAAATATGTTAAATATATATTATTGTAATAATTTTTTTTTTCTTTCTGCGTTAATTGGGGCTCACCTCAAAATACACGCGTATTCATCTCCATCTTCTTCGCCCCTCGTTTCTTTTTTTTTCTCTTTTATAGCCCTTTCCTCCTCTCTTCACCTTGTGAATCTCGCGCGCGCGCGCGAGATCCAGAACGTTATTATCAGACTTATCAATATAGCGAAGTTAATGACAGATTATCTGGGCACAAACTACATTACGTACACACCGTGTGGCACGCCGGCCGTTTTGCATCTCTTCACGGCGGCATGTTATTATTTCTCGGAACATAGAGATGCTAAAAAGAGAATACTTATTATAAATATATTTCATATATTGTATATATATAATAATATAATATATATATATATGTGTGTGTGTCATGTCACATCACTCTGTACTTATTTTTCCGTATGCTTTTTTTTTCCTTTCTTTATACTTAACATAGAAAAAATATAGAATTTACTTTACCTTGAACTTAAATATAATAAACTTCTCTCTCTTTTTTTCTCGATTATTATAATATATAAATATATGATTTTGTTATGCAGCCGTGTGTTTTGTCATTACGTGTGTTTCTCTCTTGCTTATTTACGTATGAGAGTGTGTGTGTATATGGAGCATGAGATTGTGTGTGTGTACGTAGTGTATATCTTATACTTGTTGTCGCGCGTTTGTGAAACGTGTTTGCGTGTTGATGTTTTGATATACGATATAACAAAGAATAATATACAAATATCATTCGCGCACCCTCCGTGCGTACGCGAGTCTATTTTTAGCGTGCGTTTGTGATCGTGCGAAATGAGTGCGTGAGTATAAGTGCGTGTCTTCATATGTCATGTGTATTGTATGTGTGTGAGTGTAAAGAATACTCCAGAACAAAAGTATCGCGCGGTGTGTATATATATACATATATGTACATATATGTATACATACATACGTACATGCGTATGTATATACGCATATATATTATATATAGTATATAAAAAATGCAGGAGGAACTAGAGTAGAGAAAACCCCGAAACAAGCTCACTGAGATAGTTCTCTTTTTTTTTTGTCGCGCGCGCGATAAAACTTATAAAAATTATGTAAACCTAACAAACTAAAAGCTTACACACAAGTCTTGTTCAGAAAGATCGAAAAAATATTATCTCTCTCACCTTTCATCACGCGATAGGCGAGATTCATATAGATATAATATAATATATATTTATATATATAATATATATGTGTTATATGTATATATTATATAATATATACCCCCTCGACTTATTCGGAGCTGCGACTTGAGCATATATTCGTTTAAAAAATGGCAACGATTGACAAGAACTTTTTTCGATAATAAAAAAATAGAAATGCAGGCAACGACGAAGGACGACAGACTGGGTGATGAAAAAGTAGGGTGAGAAAAAGAGTAGAGGAGAAAGGATGGAATTATTACGGTGATTACCGAGAAGGGAAATGGAATAAATTCGACAGCAAAAAGAAGGAAAAAAACGGAAATGCACGAAGGAATTTCATTTTCCTTAACGCGCTGGGTGAACGATTTTAAGCTATATCGCGTTTGCTGTTTTCGCGTGCGGACAAATTTCATAGGAGTATCGTCTCCTTGCGTTGCGCGCGCGCGTTAGAGGCCCCGTGGTGTGACGCCCGAGGCCCCGTTTGATTAGCTTCTTTCCCCTTTGTCTTTCTTCGAAACGAGAGTATTACACGTAAACGAATCGTAGAGACACGTACCAAGCTCCCTCTCTCTCTCTCTCTCAAAACGCAAACGTCGCAATTTTTGCGCTCTCGTGTCTAGCGAGGCGATCAGAGAAAATCGAAAGCACAATGATCATCCGTGAGAACGAAGAAGGGAGGACGATGTATTCCGCTTGTCTTTGAAACTAATGAGAGATGTGTGCGTTCTCGTCCTACCTTCCAGCGGTCCCAGAGAGGAAGCGGTACAATGTATATGTGTATATATATATATATATATAGAAAATGGATGTATATAAGCGATAACGTAGTTTCGCTATAGTACATCCATCCAATAGGGTCAAATGCATAATTGGTGTCCGATACATTCGAAAAAAAAGCAGCTCCTCGAATGAATACTCAAAATACATATCATCCCGTTTTTTAATTAATTGCATGGAACTTCGTGTGTACATAAATAATGAAAGAAATTTACGGTACAACAAACGAATATGGACGAATGTGACAGAACCCATTAATGCATCATCTCATTATATATACATATATATTAAAGCAACGTAATACAGCGACAACGTGGCACGTCTCTCCAACGAAAAAAGACACGTATGCATCATCGATCCCTACGTGAAAAACAAGATACTTTACGCGAGTTTTGAAGCAATCCGCAGGATTCCTTGAAACTTGATGAAACCGTATTACAACCGGCGCATCGACTGACGTCGTATCTTTTCTTTTTTTTTTTTTTTTTTTTTTTGCGCTCGATTTTTTCAATATTGAGATTGGACGAGCACGGCCCCTTGATTTTACACGTTGTGTGCTCTAGTCTCGTTTAATATTTTGTCCGTGTATATTCTTTTCCATTTGTATCGTAATAAATTTTGACCAATTACTTTTNTTTTTTTTTTTTTTTTTTTTTTTTTTTTGCGCTCGATTTTTTCAAGATTGAGAGTGGACGCGCACGGCCCCTCGATTTTACACGTTGTGTGCTCTAGTCTCGTTTAATATTTTGTCCGTGTATATTCTTTTCCATTTGTATCGTAATAAATTTTGACCAATTACTTTTCTCACCTCTCTTCTCTCTCTTCCTTTTCTTCTCCACGGCGTTATACGGCCCATGACCACCCGTCGTCCCGCGTTGACGAAATGCGCGAAAAATACAAAATCTAAATCTCGCCGATATAACTCGTATCATCTATGCAATTCTCTCTTTCACACATACATCTTTACACAATCTCGCATTCAAACTTATGGCGCTCAGACTTATTTTCCGCGGACACACAAAATATATATATTATATATATATATATATGTGTTTATATATATATATATATATATAAATTATATATATAATTATTCATATATAATTATTCGTTAGTTTAACTACTATTTTACTTAATGTAGAGATATTATTTTTACGGTAATACTAATAACGAGGAAAGTCGGGTGGAACAAACGCGTCGTTTGTCATATACGCGTCGATATATATACGCAATTTCGTGGAGAAATCGAGGAACCTGTGTGATCCTCTCTCATCTTTTTTTTTTTTGTTTTTTTTGTGTTTTTTTCACGTGCAGGATGCTGTGCGAGATCATTTGTCAGTGTGTTACCCAAGTGTGACTGTGTACGTGTGTACGCGAGTAGATAATTCTCGGTTCAATCTTCACTGTCGCACTTGTGATTGCAAGCTCGCAGGTTCGTCGAGTTTTGTTAATTGTACACACACTTCGGCGCAACAAAAAACCCCCTCCATTTTCCGAATTGTTGTTAATTAAGAACTTAACGTTTTCTACGCGCGTTCCTAGAGCGCGAACGCTGAGATCAAAAGAAGTATCGTACGTGTTTTTTTCGGGGAGGGGGGAGGGAGTTCAAAAACAAAAAAAAAAAAAAAACGAAAAGAAAAATACTCAAACGCGAGATTCGCGAAAAATCGTAATCTAGTGCTCAAGTGCGCGATCGCCGAAACGATCTCTTTCTTCCTCTCGTTTTTTTGTCTAGTCCTTTTGGCACAAAATCAAACGTCGCAGGTTAGACAAATATAAAACGTTGGACTCGTATCTCTCGATGCCGATTAAAATTGATACTGACGAAGATACGAGAGCATGCTTTGAGACCGAATATAATTAGGTATATATTTAGGCTCAAAAGCGGTCAAGGAATTCAAAAAAGTATTTTTAGAAATGTGTTTTGAAAACAATGGTCTCAGTCAAAACAATATACTAAAACATAGAGTAAAAAAAATCGAGAAAGATGTATGATCCAACATGCTAAACAAGCAGCCTCCGTTCCCCAGCAAACGTTCGACCCAAGAGATTTCAGGAACGAGCAGAGAATTTAAAAACAATTTAAAAAAATAAAAAAATAAAACAACAACAATAATAAAACACGATGTTAAGAAATACGGTTTAAAAAGTTGTCAGCGGAGATCGTATGATACGGTCCGCAACCAGATCGATCCATTTGCGGACCTCGACCTCCGCGTGAAAAAAACGGAAATCAGAGTAGCGTCTTGTGATGGTGTGTGATCATCAGTCTCGCTACTTAACTATATATCAGTCGCAGAAATATCGAAGCGTCGATCTTTTGCGGGCAATAAAGAGGCTCTTTCTCGCTTGTCAAAATCCAAACGGATGATATCCGGAAGTATTCAGTAACACTTCCGTCTCTCTCATACGTCAAAGCTTATTATCAGAGTACTCGACGAGCCGCGAGCGCGATCTATGCAAGCGTCAAAGGACAGGGGATAAGCGAGTGGGGCATACGGAGTAGCGGGGGAGCGATGACGATAACGGTGGGTAAGTGTTTCCATCTCTGTCTCTGTCTCTCTCTCTTTAAATATATATCTCATAGAACTTAAAAGCTGGCTTCGTTGTATCCGGTCAGCGGGAACTCGACGGACTCGATGACAACCGACCGACGAAACGGACCGATTGATCGAGGCGAATTCCCGTCGCGTAAAAGAGATTATTGGCAGCCGTGGAATTGAGATATTGTGCGCGTTCGGTCCTCTGACGACAACGGCATCACATCGGCATAGGATAATGGCGACAACCACGACGATGACAACGATGACGATGATGGTGACAACGGCGGCGGCGGCGGCGACGACGGTGATGACAGCGAAGTGAAAGGCCAGTGACTCCGGGAACGCCAAGATAGGATCATTCCGCGAGCCATCCGTTGCTGTCGCGTTTGTCACTGGTGCTGGTCTCGGTCGTCTTCCGCGCTCGATGAACGGTAAAAGATAGGTTGCTGGATCGGCCGCTGCGTATACTGGGTGTCGCGACATGGGCGGCTCGATGGAGCACTCTTTAGGAGAAGATACGGAGCACCTGGAGCACACGCCTGGAGCAGAGCGGGCAGCTCGGGTCCTGGCTCTCGCAGACCCGATTGCCGCAGTCCATGCAGAAGTGATTGTGTCCACAGGGCACCAAAGCCGCTGTGACCTCTTTGTCACCGCATACGACGCATTCCCGCCGCGCTCCCAGGAGCGAGTCCGTAGGTGATGCTGGGCTCGCTGTCGCCGGCGGTGAGGGTCTCGATGGTAGCGGGACACTGGGAAACGACCAGATCGACGACGCCGACGCCGGCTGCGACTCGAAAGACGGCGACTCTCCCAGACCTTCGTCTCTCTCCAATCCACCGGCCCCCCAAATCGCGACGATGTCGTTCAGTCCGATGGCGCCGGAACTGCTGGACGAGCTGCTGCAGCTGCCGCTGCCGCTGCTGGAGAACGCGCCGTTGGCCGAACTGCTAGAGCTGTTGGATCCTTGCTGATCGATACCTTGAGAAATCCCAAGCACCGAACTGAGCCCGCCGCGACACAGCTGGCCCAGCAGATCGGTGTCGTCGACGCCAGCGGCTGTGCCGGTGCGCAAGGTAATGTGCGCTTGTATCTCTTCTCTGGCCGCTTCAACGCTGTCCGGTAAACCAGTCACTTCGAAAACGGGCTCCTTGTCGCGACTCGGCGTCACAATGTAGGTGTGCGTTTGATGCTGGATTCGCTTGATGGTCGCACCCTTGGGTCCTACGACCAGACCGACCACTCTGTAGGGCACTCGCACCTGAATCGTCACATGTCCGGGCACCGTTGCCGGTGGCCCCGGTGGCGCACCTAGAAGTGCGCCGAGCGAGCTCTTGCGCGACGCGCGTATCTGTGAGAAGTGTTCAGCTGCAGACAGGATCTCGCGCTTCGCACGAGCCACATCCTCTTTGCGCCCGGTGACGACGAACACCGGTTCTTCACCTCGCACTGGAGTCTTGATGTAAGTGTTCGTCTTCGCTCGTAATGCTTTTATCTTGCAGCCTGCAATCAAACAAAACAATCATTGATCGTTAAGCTCGTGCATCATCTCGATTATATATAAAAACTTAAATGTCTTAACAAATAACTATCTTTTAACCTTTTAACGTAAATTTTAATAAATGTTTAACATTATAATATCAAAGACAGAACATAGATTACGTTATTGCGCGCATTTATACTATGTTTTATTTCGCGATACAAAGCCGCCCACACGTAATGAGCTTCGGAAAAGTAGAAGCGCGTTAGTGACGCAATTGTTTGCATATCGCAAAGCGAGATGCGCATAGTGGGATGAGAAGAGCGGAAAAGGGAGAGAGAGAGAGAGAAAGAAAAGCGCGTGCGTTTTGTAGTAGGATATGCCGCGCGATGCGAGAGGCGGCGACGTAAGAGAGGGAAAAAGAGAGAAAGAGCACATACACAGGGTGCAGGAAACTGGAAGGAAGGAGGTCCCGACCCGGTCTGGTCCTCGGTCTCGCAGACTCTTTGGCCTTGAGCCAGCGCAATGCTAGCAATGCAGGTGAACCACTCCTCTTTCTCTCTCCTTTCGTTTTTGCCACTCTCTTTCTCTCTCTCTCTCTCTCTCTCTCTCTCTCTCCGTTTGCGCTCCTCGCATCTCCTTTTCATACGCGTCCTGAGAATCTTGCGTTCTCCCTGTCCTTCTCTCCTTCTTCTCCCTCCCCCGGACCTTCCTTTCATTCAGTTCACTCTCTCCTTCATCGCGATGGAAGGAGAGAAAACGATGCGCGTTGCATCGCATACCAGGCGGGGCTTTTTTGTCTCTCTGCCGACCGGCCGCGGCGCGCGCGCTACACATCGTCTCGCAATCAAATTTTGCATTTTCCAACGCGCGCGTAAGCAGAATTCAATGTGAAACAGAGCGCGCGGGAAAGGCAAAAAACCGAATAAATTTGCGAATAAATTCCAGAATTATTTCTCACTCTTTTATCACAAACACGCGAATATCACATTAGAAACTCGTTTCTCGTCTCGCGAAGGGCGCAATCTGCTTGGAATAACTTCGCGCAACGTCACGGACGTTTCCGTCTCTTCTTCAGTCGAGATATCGTACCGTGACATAATCATCTGAACGTCGATATAGAACGAAACGGCGCTACGTGGCGGTGAACGATTGGCGAGCGATAAAAAGAACTGACTCCGCGACTTGTCAGCGAGTCTAGAAAACGCGTCGGGAAGATCTCGCGAACGTTATCAGATGCCACTAATACATCATTCTGATGTGCCACGCCAAATATTAGGTATGCGTACCATTAGATGTACATGTAAATTTGCAACAATGTGTGCATTATATTTATATTGTATAAGGAAAAGTAACTGTAACCAGTTTGACAAAGTTGATTATCAGAGACTTTGTTCTGGGAAGTTTCAACGTCGAAGCATCAAAGTGCGAAACTCTCGTGACCCTAGATAGTTCGCGTGGAACTTTGAGATCTCGTTCGTGCACGCGTAACTGAGAGAGAGAGAGAGAGGACGAAGTTTTCTCTCGAAAACTCTCCTTCCTCTCATACCGGAATTTCGCTCGGAGCAAACCGGAGCGCGGCAGTTGCGATTCGGCTAAATAACTTCGCGTATAGAAGCGAGAGAGGCAGGTGAACGTGGTAAAATCAGAGAATACCGGGCGCTCACGCGTGCACGCGGGGACGAAGACTCGCGCGCGCATACAGGTATATGCGCGAGAGAGCGAAGACCCGCCAAGGAGAGGAACGTTGCCACGCTCCGTAGAATCTCGGGGAAGGTGGTTGAGAGACGGTGGTGCCGATGGTGGTGGTACAAACGGAGAAAGAGGAGACGGTGGGGCGTGGGTCGTGCACAGTTGAAGGGCCGCGACCAAGGTGAGGTGAGACGGAGAGGCAGGTAAAAGAGAAGAAAAGAGAAAGAGAGGAAGAAAGAGAGAAGGAGAAGAAGGAGAAAGAAAGAGAGGAGAAAGAAAGGCTCCATCCGTCGGAGAGAACGCTACTCTAGGGATCCCCTCGCTTTGTTCGCTTCGTCGGAGGGACGAGAAAATACGAAAAGAGAGGATGATCCAAAAGAATCGAGTAACTACGTCGGTCCCCACCGGTCGGTCCACTGCGCTACATTCTGTTCGATATCGCGAAATTGTAGACATCGGCAAACACGAATCCGAAACGGAACTCGAGCCTCGGATCAGCACGAATGCACACAGTGTTGGCGCGATTCAATACCTCGGTTCGGTGAAATTGATCGATCGGGACGAAGATCCCGATCGATCACATTGTCAAATAACAAAACTAACCATAAATTTACCCTCCTTTCTCGGAGAAAATTTATGTCACTCACACACGTATCTCTAATCCACGCGAGGCACGTGGTACGTTTCCTCCCTAAGTACGAGTACAATGATGAGCGAAAGGTAGAGCGGCGCGCGCGTATGTGTGTGTGTGTGTCTCTCTCTCTTTCTCTTTCTCGCTCCGTTCCCACGATACGTCACGCGCTCGAATGACGTTGCTAAAATCCGCAGCAGCAACGGCAGCAGCAGCAGCGGCTCCCCAAAGGCCGCAGGATCAATAGCTACAGGCTTCCATACGGCCCACGGCTGCATTATAGACGCTCCGTGTAACTCGAGTACACAGGGCGTCGAATGTAGGTTGTGCCGGCGCTTCTAAATTTGTCCTTGTTGAACTCTCGATTTTTTTTTTTTTTTTTTGATATAATTCTTGCTCGGAGCTATTTCTTCAAATTGTTTCGCTTCGAGATTAAAGTATTTTAACACGATAGACAGGTGTGTATAAGAGAGAGAGAACGATTTTGAAAAACGAAGTTTTCCAAATAAAAATTGTCTAAGAAAATTAAGTTATTACTCTTAATGTAGTTCTCAGAAGGGTTTTTGAAGCTGCGCTGTTTTGAAGGAAGGAAACATCCAAGAGACACTCGTGGACCATCTGCTCGCTTTAATTAGGCCCGCCGAACAGCCCAACAAGAAGAAACACTTCTCTCCTTCGTAGATCTCGCTTAAAGTTTCATCGAATAAATGTTGAAAAATTTGAGCAGAGAAGCGAAAGATTTTTATGAGAATCTAATCACCGAAATATTTAAATTGTAAGTTTGCATCGAATTTTGCTATTTATTTTATTTTCTTATCTTCTCAATAACATATAGTGCAGCATTTCTTTAGATATTTACCTTCTTTTTTGTTACAGTTACACAGTTGTAACTTAAAAAATAATTTTAACAAAATTTTTTACGCCGTAAAGAACTCGTTTAAGCGGAAGTCTCGTTACAAAAGACTCCGTCTTCACCATGCGAGTCTCGTCTCGCGAGACGTAAAACTACAAAGTTAAGATCTCGAATGTCCCGGCTTCCACGGGTCGGTCGGTGACGGCGCGCGATAGTTTGTTTAGGGCCCCGACGGGCCCTTAAGTAGCGGTACCCTTTAGAGTCGTAGACGCGTCCGTAGGTCCGTACACAGAGAGCTGGCATCACGAGTTTCTCAGGCAGGTCAGTGAAACTGCGCCGTCAAGTTGAAGGCCAACACCCCCACAATGCAACGGCCGAGCGCACCACCGCTCTGTGTGTTCCCCACCATATCGTTAAATCCCTCCGCGCTCTCTCCCCCTTCCTCCTGCGTCGTCGTCCATCCCCTTTTCTCCACCGACGTCTCCGCACCACCGCTCTCTCTCCCCTTTCTAACATAACCCCACTCGACACGCGCGATATAACCGAGAAAACTCCAATAACGCCGATAAACTCGCCGCCTCCGCGCCGATGCCACCTCTGTACAAATACTCCCTCCTCGCGCCAAAGTGGACTTCGCGCGCCACAAACCGATTAATCATTCCCTCCCTTTCCGAATTAGCCCATTTTTTTTTTTTTACGCCGCACCTGAAGATTTCCCCCAAACTCCGAAAGCCATTCCTCGCGAAGAAGAAGACGAAGTTAAAATAAACATTTTTATTTTATTTGATTTTATCTTTTTTTTTATCAACGAAGAGATAACTCGACGTAATTCAAAACACAGTCATATTTTGATATTATGAAACTTAAAAAAAAATATAAACACAAAATATAAGCGGAGAATCGATAGCTAAAAGCTTTTAATTTCCTTCTCGGAAAAATGTCTAATGAAGAACAAGACTTAGTCGGCGACGCTTGTGAACGTAATTGCGTCTCCACATCATTAAACATCGCAGTCCAAATCTGCAGCGGCAGCGATTCTCGTTCTCTTTCTCTCTTTCTCGCGGCAGCTCAACCAAGGAAGACGTAGGAGCACGCGGTCATTCGTGCGTTGACCATCGGGCAGTCCGGATCGGCGGTGCGCGCGCAGGTGTGGTAACGACCCGTCCATCGTCTCTCTTTTCTCTACACGGTATGAGAGAAAGAGAGAGAAGAAGAGGAGAAAAGCGAGAATCATCTCCTCCCTCTCTTTTTCATTCGCCGCTTCTCTTTCCCGCTTTCTCTCTTTCTCTCTCTCTTCTACTGACCCCTCGTCGCAAAGGACAGAAATTCCAGCCTCTTCTCGAAATAGATCGATGACACTCTCGACGACTAAGCGTATATACGCACGCACGCACGCACGCACGCACGCATGCACGCACCGTCTCGCTCGTGCCACGCGCGCTCTCCTCCTTTCTCGCTCTTCTTTTTCCTTTTCTCTCTCTCCTTCTCTCTTTCTCAGTGATGTCTCTGAAATAACCGAGGCGAGGCTCACTTATCGGACTGGGGAATAAGGTGCAACGCACGCATCCGTTCACCAGCGCTCTCCGCGCCGCGGCTCTCTTTTCTACGTCTCTCTTCGTTTCCATTCGTGTATATGTCTCTTCTTCTATTCTCCGCTTCTTCTTTTCACGTTCTTCTTCTTTATAATCACTCTCTCGCTCGGTCGTCATTTCTCTTTCTCTCTTGCCCGCATTTTCTCTCTCTTGCTCTTTCTATCCCGTACGCAGTTGCAACTGCCATCGCGTCCCGACACTGTCTCGAATGGCAGTGGAGGTCATACTATATTAAGATTGAACTCCACTGACACT